CCCAGCATTTGTCCCAACAGCCGAATCCGATACGCCAAGAGGAAGTGAAGATTCTGGATCACCACCAAACAATGCTCAAAGTCAATATGAGGAAACCAATGAAGAACCTCAAGAAGAGCCACTTACACAACAAATTTCCCCTCAAGATAAATGGGCACAAATCCGTAAGAACGTTGCCGAACAAAAAGCTAGGAATAGAGAACTCGAAGAACAAGCTAGAATTGGACATCGTCCATCTACTGATAATGATGATGAGACTTCAGGTGAAGAGAGTGAGTATTCCCCTCCTTCTAAAGCTTCTTCATGGGGTGATATACTAATGGATCCAGCAATTGAATCTCGTGTTGCACGTATTAAAGCTCGTGTAGCTGAACTTACGGGTAATATGGAAAACAATAACTCGTCTGCTCCTCCACCTATTCGAAGAAAAGCTCTATAGATTCTTTTATATCTATGTCGATACCAATACATCTATGTCGAAACCAGTCCCGATACCGATACCGATACCGATTCCGATACCGATACCGATACCGATACCGAAATATACTCTTGTCATAACTCGCCTACGATCAAAATATTACTTGTAAATTGATGCCTCGCAATCTCAATCGTCCTGGCATCTATTTACATATGTTGGGAAGACTCCTATACATTCATATTCTATTGTCCAATAATTTACACACTCACACACACAGACGCAATTAAAGTTTTTTCTCGATATTCCATTCAGATCAGATCTTGATTATTGCAGCGCATATAATACGATCCGATCGATTTTGTTCGATTTCTCGGACTTTTTTCTTTTTTTTTTTTGTTCATTCGCGGATTTTTTCTTCTACCATTTTTTTGAGATACCATTCATGATTTCTGTTCTGCATTTGCGCATTTTTGCGAGTTGTTAAGTGAGGGGATAGGACTAGGGGGGGGGGATAAAAGACTGGGAGATAGAAGTAAGGCGGATAAGGGAAGGGGAAAGATTGCTTGCGATCTGGATCTGGATCTAGATTTGTAAAGGTGTGTGGGGGAATTGGCAGGTGTGGATATGATTCTATTATATTTGATTGTCGGTTTTTGAGAAAGTGGATAATGAGAAGATAGATAGAGGAGTGTTTGTGGGGTAGGATGTTAAAATAAGAGAAGAGAAGAGGGGTGAGGAGAAAATGGAAGAGGATGATGTTTAGATACCAGTAATTGAGAATGAGATTTGAGATGCAGTTGAATTTGCAGATGGTGTTCGAGAGTGTTTAAATAGGAATTGAGAATGAGAATGTGAATACATATATGATTGAGAAAATATGATTGAGGGTTGAGATAAGATATGATGAGTTTTGAGGTATTTTATTGTTTTTTTGTAACTGTGTATATAGACAGGTATGTGTAGGATTCTGAGGGAATAGAATAAAGTGTTTGGAGAAGGTTCAAGTGAATAGGAGTCAATTGAGGCGAATAGGAAGGAGTGAAATGGAAAGGACATTAAGTGAAAATGAATGTGTATTTGGTATGGATGTGAAATGAAAATTTGGGGGAAAGGGGAAGGGGGAAGAGGGAAGGGGGAAGAGGGAGGATAGCTCGGGAAACTTGGGGGTAGGTATCTAAGTTTTGGGTTTTGATGAATTGCGATGGGGGCCGGGGGGCTGATAGGGGGAAGGGGAGGGGGAAGGGGAAAAGGAGCGGGAAGGGGGAACGGGGGCGGGGGATGGTGGGGGGGAGGCGGGGAGGCGGGGGGCGGGCAGAGGGGGCGCGGAGGGAGAGGAGGGCGAGGAGCGGGACGGCCAGCGCGGAGCGGGCGGAGAGTAGGAAGGCCGGCGGCGTCGTAGGAGGCTATAAGTGACGGGACGCCAAGGGAGGACCTCAAAAAAAAAAGAAGAAATGAAAGTAAGTAAGGAAATAGAGGGGAAATTGAAAAAGAATAAATAGGAATAAATGGAATAAATGGGAATAAATGAGAATAAATGAGAATAAATGAGATGGGGTGGATTGGGATTGGAGGTGGGTTATTGGAAATGTATGTCTTTAGGTATGTATATATATATTAATGAGTTGGTGTGGTTGTTGGTTAGTTTTTAAGTTTGATCTCGGAGGTGGAATGTTATGAGTGTAGTTTGTGGGTAGGTATGCTGTACTGTGCTGTGGCTGTGGCTGTGATAAGTAAGGGCAGATGGATGAATGGGATGATGATAGGATGATTGGTGGTTGTTTAGGAGGGAGGGCTTATGTGTTAATGATTGATGGTTTGTAATGTGTAATATGTGATAGGAGTTGGCAAAAGAAAAGGAAGAGGTGGAGATGTTTTAGACGGAGACGAAGCGAAGCGAAACGAAATGACCAGAGGTAGTGGAACTTGGTAGGAGTAGGTAGGTATATGAATTATCTAGCTAGATATTTATCTGTTTGATCATTGTGATTTCATCTAGCTGGAGTGTTCTTTATTTGGGGATCGGGATTCGATATGTGATTGATGTATTTGATGTTAAGTGATGTTGAGTAGTATTAATGTATGCTAATGAGAGGATGTATCTTCTTATTGTTAGTGATAAGTTTTGTTGTATATTTGATTTTAATTGTTCTTGGGTTGATTTAAGAGGGAGAAATTATTTGGGTTTGGAAGATGGGGAGATGAGGAGATGGAGGTTGAATGATTTCGGGATTTGATATAGTTTAATGTTAATGAAACATATACTAGTATATAGTGTATATTAATAAGGATATATCTTCTATTACTAATAAAAAGTTTTGTTGCACATCTTATTTATTAAATGTTTTTAAGTTGATCTAGAAGGGAGAAATTATTTGAGTTTGGGAGATGGGAAAAATGGAGGTTGAATGGATTTGGGGAGGGGCCTCGTGGGTGCTTTCTTGGACTCCTTTTTAACTGGTATTTAAGTTCTGTACGGTGGATTGAGACGTGGGATGGGGGATAGAAGTTTGTTTGGGAGTTTTGGATTTCTAGTTGTATTGTTTGTGCTTTGGGATTCTTGTAGGACTGAAAAGGGAGATGGAGAGGGAGATGGGGGAGGTAGAAGGAGAAATAGAGGATGAGAAGAGAAAAGGAGAAAAAGGGGAAAACTTATTGACTTATTTATATAAGCGAGTTTGAACATCTTCAAGCTAGATAAGTGTGGGGTTTTTATTGCGTTGATGATAATATCTAGGTACTTAGGTAGTGTTATCTGATATAAAGAGATGCAGATAGGTGAATGATTTTGAAAATAGAGTAAGTGTTCGAGGTTGTGTGAAATGGAGTGGCTCTTGTGTGTGAATCTGGATGTTTGTAAATGTAGAGAGGGAAGTTTTGGTTGTTTAGGTAGCTATAACTAGTGTAGAGAGGGGTTTCGGGGATGGCGTTTGAGGGGTTGTCACTGTGCTGGTGTTGATTTGTATGGTTTGGTGGTGAGGAGAAATGGCTTGTAACGGTGGAAATAGTGTGTTATGGATGGTGTATATGCTGTTATGACTCGGGAATGATAGTGTCTATTCACAAGGGAAGAATATTTAGAATGAGGTAGTTGCGTTGAATTGTTGATGCAATGCTGGAGATTGATAATTTGATTTCATTTCTCTTACTCTTTTGAGATACCTTTTCTAGGATTTTGAGTGTACCCGATTTCTGCATCTGCTTCAGTGCTCGCAATGGGTCGATTTGGTACTTTTGTTTGAAACCCCCAGTCAAACTGGCGTATGGTTTATAAAGTCCAGCTGTATCACCCTCTCTCATCCATTGCGGGCACTGATCTGATCTCATGTAAGAGTTCTGGAACCTACTTAACCTTACCGCACATGTAACGCTTTCCGGCTAAGATATTTAATTATTCGGAGTTTTATACCCTGGTTTATTGATTACAATATATAATGAAACTGAAAATTACATTAGATTTTAATTAAGAATCACTTAAATTATTTAAAAAAAAAATGAATGATTTATTTTCAAATATTTTTAAATTGGAAATTAGAAAATTTTTAAAAAATTTGTTTATTTTGTATAGGAAAAGCATTACAAGTTAAAAATTCTGAACATTTTTAATTAAAAACTTATATAACTTTTTAATGAAAATATTTAAAAATAAATTAGAATTTTTTAATTGAAATAATAATTTATATTGTTTATTAAAAAGTTTTTATAATTTAATATCAATAATTATATCAATTATATAATATTTTAATTTATATAGAGAAATATAAATTTTGCAGGAATTATGTCACAAAACATCACGGTGTGCGGTAAGTATGTTCGATAACTCTTAATTTTGTCTTAAAGAAATGTATTTAGGGAGGGAAAATGAGCAATTGTGTTGATCGAACGGGTAGAGTAAGAGCATAAAAAAGGGAAGGAATGTACTTGCATTTAGATAGGGTAATAGCGACAATTTAGCAAACTCGCGAATTTCAAGAATAGCATCAAAGAGATGTTCTTAAATCGACTAAACAAGACGGGCATTATTCAACTCGGTGATCATGAAATGCATTCGCGATTTGATGAATCTTCTGCGTGTCTTTCGAAATAGACTTGGATGAATTAAGGTATGTATCAAGTGTTGTTTACATGTACTAAGAGTAAAACGCAGCTTTTGATTGTGAAAGAAAGCGGATATATTGTTTGCGTGCGTATTGGAAAAGTCCATCATTTTGAATGCTGCTGAGAGTCGCATTATCATTGATATATCGGTCTTATTGTGGTAACTTTCGCATTCCGGTTGACCAGTCTCTGGCCCTAGAGAGATGTTAGGAAGAGGATGAGTAGTAAGCGGAAGTGTCATTTCTCGGAGAGGTTTGATTGGTCATCAAAGAGCTCATCCAATTAAAAGAGAAAATCGACAAAACACCAATGATGTGTGAACACGACATTATGGTGGACAGTCTTTTGGTTACACAATGCAGTGTACAGCCTCGGCGTACGTATATCATACATAAGAAGGCTTTATGTCTCGTCGCATCAAGAAAAGACTGCATTTAACATTGGATGAATCGCGAAGACTCTCCATTTCGCTTTGAGCATTGCTAATATGTCTATATCGTCGTTTTTGAGATCACTACAGTCACATCTCTCACCTTCCAAGAAGAAACGTACGTCGCCTTCTCCAATCTGTTCAAGATGTCAGGAATTTCTGGATTCTTGCAACTTTCAACAACCTACTGGTTTACTTTCGTTCAAGACTCTTTCTAAGCTACCAACTCCTCCTGTTGTGGAAAATTGCTTTTTATGTTTAAAGCTCTTGGGTTCATGTCTGGTTGAACTTGCAGATCAAGCCAATTATATTAAAGCTCTGAGACTCAGTCCTCAACATGTTTTGGATAATTCATCGCAGTGTATGTTAATGTCTCATGACTTGGGTCGACATACCATTTCGAAATCGATTTCCTCTGGCTGGCTTCCTACTGAAGAGGAAGGTGAAGAAATGAGCAGTATGTCTCGAGACCTCGGGGTATATTCGCAAAAAAGTGGGTGACAAACAGATGACTATGGAATATTTTTAAATGCTGACAACACTCCTCTCAGAACTCGCTGGCTTAGAGAGTTTTGTCTCAGTAGCTTCTTTCACAGGCTCTGATGAGAGTCTGAATCTTTCCAAACAATGGTTACAAAACTGCAATGAAAGCCATGTTTCCTGCTCGAGCAAAGATACCACGTACCCACGTTTTCTTCCTACTCGTCTCATTGATATCGGAATGGAAGAATCAGCGATCACTCCACGACTTTGTTTAAGAAAAGACGTTCCAATTAATTCAGTTTACTTGACTTTAAGTCATTGTTGGGGGAAGACTATGCCAAAAATTACTCTTCTTCAGGCAAACATCGAGTTTATGCTTCGCGAGATAAACTTTTCACAACTTTCGAATGCCTTCCAAGACGCATTATGGGTAGTACGGAAATTAGGAGGACGATATATCTGGATTGATTCTTTATGCATCGTTCAAGATTCCGAGACTGATTGGTTAGTAGAATCCGCCAGTATGTGTGATGTCTACTCGAATAGTTACTGCAATATCTGTGCCACAGCTGCGAGAGATGGTAGTGAAAGGATGTTCCGTAATAGAGAGCCATTACAGGTACAGCAGGGTTGGTTTAAAACAGCTGGCGATGAGGAAAATTACTGTGTCATTGACGAAGATGAATGGGAAAATGAGGTGGAAAATGGCATGTTATCCTCTAGGGCTTGGGTCTGCCAAGAACGCCTATTGTCTAGACGAAATCTTCACTTTGGCTCTAGACAATTATTTTGGGAATGTCTAGATCACGAGGCTTCTGAAACATTTTCCAGAGGCATTCCACAACAAGTCATCGAAGGCCGAAATGTAAAATCCCGGGTCAAAGTACTTGTTAATTGCATCGACAAATGTCAATCAGGCATGCCTTTCGAACTTGGACAAATCTGGGAGAAAATTGTAAAATTGTATATGAAAAGTAATCTAACTTTCAAAACGGACAGACTTGTTGCAATCGGAGGAATGGCGAACGCAGCAGCTCAACACATAAGGGGGAAATATTTAGCGGGAGTATGGGAAAAAGACCTGATATATGGTATTCTTTGGAACGCTCGAGAATACCCATCCATTCTTTCCAAATTTACCGAAGCTCCCCCAGAGAAGCAAGAATATACAGCCCCGAGCTGGTCTTGGGCCTCTTTTAATGCAGAAATAGAATTTCCTCGAAGGGTCCACAGAAATAGAAGAGATGAGAGATTTCCTCAGATCTTAGAAACACATCTGGATCTAGCAATTGATAACCCATTTGGGAAAGTATGCGGTGGATATATCAAGCTCAAGGGAGATATCACTTCCGCTACTTGTTCTCGCGCAGGATTGTCCTGCTCACCACATTATCATAGCGATTTTGAGATCTGCTTCGGACGAGATGGCAAAGAATGGAAAAACCCTGGCACAACACGCTTGGTTTGTGACTTTGAAGATATGACAGAAATCGAGCGACGGGAAATATATCTTCTGCCTGTCTATAGCTTCACCTTGAGGTATAGGGACTGGAAGGCTAGGGGTCTTATACTGTTCCCAACAAATAGAGCGAGATGGGAATTCCGCAGGTGTGGTATATTTGAGTATGGTTGTAATGATGACCACGAGGATTTTATGTCTGAATGTAGATATTTCAGCCGCAAGCAGAGAATTGAATCGCCCGAATTTGGTCTACAAGATGACGGAAAATTTATTATCAAGATCTTTTGATAACTGGGGTGATGTTGGCATACGTATTTAAGTTCAATTAGTTTATGATGCGGCAAGTCATTGTTACAATAATTGTGCTTTATTCAGCATGGCTTGAATCTTTGTGAAAAATTTGCGCGTTAATAATAAACTTGGCTACCGAGACTTAGATCGGTTTAGTTAAATTCTATATTCTAGTCTGCTGTTTGAAAAGAACGGAACGCGGCAAGTGTATAATTCTCTATGAATACTCACTAGCTTTAGCTTCTATATGTCATGTTTACTATAATAAGCCACTGAAGCTGATCATCAATTAGTCTGTAAAATATTAGCATACAAAAAGTCAGTTTAGTATCATACACATTCAATCTACGTAAGTTACGATTTTGCAAATCCAGAATAAGTTTTGTATCACTCGCTATCTTTTTTTGCTAGTTCCGACTCTTATAGAACGAAGGGTTGAGTCTCTCTAATGTTCGTCTGGTTTTCTAAACTATATTTCTGGGATCTCAACCCCTTACCTTGTATACAATAGCATGATTTGTTTTGTCATCTTTGTTTTCTCTTTACTGTGCTAACTATAGGTAGGTATTTGGTGCTATTCTTGACTACTCGCTCGTCTATATATAACCGAGGATCTAGGTTTTGATTTTTGTGGATTAGCTTCGATTCTTTCGGTTAAGAGAAAGTTAACAATGATAGGATAGAGATTCTTTGTTGTTTGATGTTTGATGTTTGTGCTTGCATTTGGGTTCGGAATGGTATGTTCGCACTTTGTATTTGGTATATATTTTTGGGGGTAGGAGTTAGAATATACAATGTAAACAAAACTGGCGAGTTGTAGACTCGCTAGTCTTGTTATAGATAATGGAAGATTGAATATCAAGGCAGTCTGAGGGATCAGTTGGAGATATGTAGTAGAATTAGAGAGGCTGGAAAGAGGTGAATTTGAAGATAGAGGTTGATATTGAGGCGAGGAGTAGATAGTTTGCCGTGGTGGAAGTGGATTACAATAAGCGAAATACTGGTGGCTATTCACGGAAGGGACAGGGTTGGAAATACTTTACTTGCTGAAACCAGTGTTGGATTCGAACTGGATATTAAGAATAGAAGATATAGATTCTAGCCTTGGGCTTATACTATGAGGACAAAATTACAAAATCGGCCACTAAAATACAATTGCTTGCGACAGACTAAGTCGTCAGATATTCCCACCGGCAGCATAACAAGTTTTGGTTGTTCATAGGTGCAACTTCATGGCTTCTTAATATAGGCGAAAGTTCAGGCATAGACTCAGAGGGGTGATGTTAATTCACTGTCCAGATATCAAAATCAAGAGAAAACTAATTAGAGCAAAAGAGTAAGTGGTGCAGATTTGTCGTTTGTGACCAAGACCACATTTCACTATATGTATAAGGTTTCATGTGGCAGTCGTATCATTCTTCAGAGATGGGCTTTTTTACAAGTCACGTTTAAGATCACTTTCGTAAAATGGTTGAGATACCTAACATTACAGATTAATTATTAACACAGTCACTGTCATACATTTACTAGTAATGTGAATAGATAGATGTATTCGGTGACGAGAATAGTGCGCGATAGTAGTGACAATATAAAAAAATGATATAACAACCCAGATCTTATGGTAATTGGTTAGTTTCAGAGTACAACTAAAGCTGGGATGAGAAACTTTGGCTTTCAGACGCTTTCATTTGAAAATAATTCTCAATATTTCTGTTGGACTGAGCTGTCGTTCCCGGGGCGGACATGATCGCTTTTGATCGTCATATGGGTAGAAGGAGGCTACGCCTTAAATAGACAGAATATCCATGAAGTAAAGACTTACCCATTGTATTGTGTATAACATGAAAGTCAATCCACAACAAGAATGTCCTAGGACCCACTCTTTGACAAGCGTAAAAAATCCCAAGACTTTTTTAGAGTTTCAAGTTGAATGCTGATCAGATTTTCTAAAGTTGAAATTAAGTTCCAATAGAACATAAAATCATCGAGATTATACTATCTCTGAACCTATCAATGAAATGCAGCGCACAATAAACCTTGCTTGATATCTTGAGGAGGCCAACCAGATATCTTTCCTTCATACCTAAGTAGGCAATCAAGAACGTATGAGCAATCCAAAGACACTTAAAATATTTTATCTACGGTCGTAAAGCAGCAAAATTTACGAAAAGAGAAGCGATGACATCTAAACCTAGTATTATCGAAGCAAATTGTGATAACTGGAAAACCTCAATAAAACCGCTGGTTGGGACAAAAATCCGTTGCTACACGAGAAGAGAAGTGGGAAAGAAAAGAGTCGTTTGTATATATGATCCCATTTTCAGCTTTCGTTTTTCGAGTCAATTTTTCTAGCAATTTCTATACTTCCCTTAAGCGAGACCCCTCAATTGCCCCACTTCTTTCCTGTACAAACACTTGTAAATAACAAACAACCCAAAAACCCAGATCACTCCATCAAGAACCAATGCACTAATTTATATCTACAGAGTTTCAGTGTAAAAAAAAATAAAAAAATATCCCGTGCAGGGTTTGAACCTGCGATCTTCTGTGTTCTTTAAAAACTCATGTGAGAATTCTGTGAGACAGATGGCATGACCACTAGCCCAACGAGATCTTTTGATTGGTTGTTTGATCAATTTGATATGTCGGGATTGTAATTTAGACCTATAAACCATACAGCTTAGCGGTGGGTTAGGGGTAAGATTTTGGAGGGAGTGAGAAGAATGTTCATCAATCGGATAATCAATTTGTAGAGCTACGATTTTTGTAAAAAGCATCTACATTCACTTATCAAGTTACTTTACAGAGTTTCTTCTACATGTTTCAATGATCAAGATAGAACTATGCAACAACGACATGCTGAACTGGCTAAACTTTACACTTAGAGTCATATCTCTTGAAACGGCGGCGAGTTGTCATGCTTCCACGAATATTGTTCTCGAGAATAGAACTTTCAGCTTTTCACAACAGGAACAGCAAGTAAATTAACAAATATCAATATCATTGTCCAGCTTTTCTGTTGCACAGCTTGCTGTTATTAACTCTCTCAACGAATCTGGAGTTTTCTACACCAATTTGAGAGCCTATTCCAGCTTACACGGATGTGATTCTCAAAAAACACTAGAAAAAGTTGTCGAAAGCTTGAGTCGAACTGAGTGGTGACCAATTGGTAGATCCTCCATATTTTGTGCTACCTGGCGTACTGTATGTAAGAACCTTGTGCTTGGGGAATCAATCAAGCATCTAGTGCCCAGAATACTAAAAATAATATTGGGGAAGCCTTTTGAGCCCTATTAGATGGCTGGCCAAGACATGGAGATTGGTATCGTGTATGCTGCTGACACAATTGAAAATTTAGACGGAGGGCTCATGCCTTCGAGTGAAAAGAACCTATGATTAACATGCATGCAATTTTAGTCACTTTCTAGGAATCCCATTCTTTTCGAGACATCTGGATTCTTTGGTAAGCTTTGCAATCATTTCCGGTAGACTATCGGAGCGATACGACCGTATATTGAAAATATTGGACTGTCGCCGTGAGATTTCCTCCGTTGTATCCAGCCAATACTCGCCTAACGCGTTGGTGAACTAGTATTGTCCTCACGATGGAAAAGTAATGAGATTTTCCCATTATTCTTATGGCGACAAAGCCTTCGTGGATCGTAGCGGACGAGGCCGACAAACAGTGTAGAGCACGAGCAGCGTCTAGAAAGTGTCAATCATTCCATCTTCACTTTATTTTCGGACATTGTGTTTTCTAGAGTTTGTTTATGTATGGTTTCTGTATTATCTAAGTACCTTGGCAGTTCATAGTTTAACTGTTTGGCTTTCTTGCTTGTATCCACGTTGCAAATCATTCAAGTCACACAAGAGAATGTCAGATGATTGCAACAATATCATCATTATCATGGTTCATTCATTTTCAATTAGATTTGGAGAGCTTTGCGCCTTTCACTAACTGGCATATACTTTTATGAATGTTCAATTTTTGTAACAGGGGTTTTTCATTGTCATGTTATCATGTCATCACGGAACATCCGAATCGTTCCAGTGAGAACACCGTTACCCAGCTACAATTCTCCCATACTGCCAGCTACCCTGCCGCACCAATGAAATATAGCCGAAAACCGCAATAGAATAATTGTCATTCCTCTGAATATCCTGTTCCACTCCCCATCAATGACATGCCAATCACATCCATATCACATCAAATGGATCTTGCGTGATTCTAGCAGACAAAGATCTGGTTCCCGCCGATAAAATTAATTTTCCTTTAAGAAAACGTTTCTATAACGACCACGAAGTCTTAATTCATCCTCGCTGTCTACAGGGATAACCCACTTGCCATGGAGACCCAAAACCTCGTATGCCAGGGTCCAACTGCTAAGTTTCAGCTGATATGCGGCGATAGTAAGGCCGAGTTGCTTAAAACTATAGTGGTCGTCCAGACGGGCGATGACCTCCACTTTTGTGAGATTGAAGCTGTTCAAGACGGATATGACTGTGGCGACTGTAGCAAGTCTACCGTTGCATGTCACGACATTGTGATGCTGTTTGGGTGCCTTGATGAGAATCTTGACGTCGTAGATGACCGCAGCGTATTCCATAAGAGCATCTAAAAAAGCTTTAATATCCGAGAGCGACTCCGACTGGGAAAAATCGAGGTCGATGATCATCTGAAAGTTGTCTTCAGTCTTCTCAATGGTCAAGGCAGGGTGTTGACGAAGAGTTGAGAAGTCGAACTCTGCAATATCAGGTCCGTTGACAGCAAGTTTATCTTGTTGGACAGGTTGCTCTGGTTGGAAAAGCTGGCTGCCATCGCCGTGGTTGCTGTCAGCCTGCTCACCCTGGATGGATTGGCTACCGCCATCGTGGCCGTTGCGAGTCATATTTACTTTGGAAAGAATCGGTTAGTAAATAGAATTCTAAAGGTTTGAGTCGAAGTAACTCTCAGATAGCAAGTGTCTTGAGTATGAGAAGATAGGAAGTCTCTTGAGTATGGGAAGATGTTTGAGTTCGTCCCTTCTGACTGATGGATATGGATATTCTTATAGAAGTATTTGCTACTGCAAGGTATATTGTAACTTGATTCCAGAGTGAAATACAGGAATGGGTACAGTCACCTATGCTAGGGGCCGTAGTATCCGATCGAATCAAAAGTTTAATTTATAAGCAAGGATGTCACACATATACATTCACTTCGGCCTCTTCAATATTTTAGATTGTTTTAGCATCATTCCTTGGTTCTAAGGCGTGGTAACTAATCGTTTCTTGGAAGCATGGAGATTGAAATATCGGGTTCTAACTAATAAGCTCTCGAACGTCAAACAAATGTTTATTGTCAATCTCTAGACCTTGAAGTATCGTGAGGTAGAGTATGAAATTGAAAAAGGCAAATAATAGAGTTACTAGACTTGATAGTTATAATTCATGAATCAATCTTGTGGCAATGAGATGTTGAATTTTCTTTCTTTGAATGGAGATCTAAACCCATCTATGTATAATAATGTCACTTACCCCAAGATATCTCAGTTTAAAGCTAGAAGGAATTGCTGACTCTATCAAGGCATCAAGACATCAATATATTCATACTTCGAGTCATCATTCAATGCAAATTTATTACTTCAATGGTACAATTAAGCTATCAACTATGCAAATTAGGATGCTTTCGAATCGATTTATTTCAATTATTAGACCTAAATTATTTAGTAAATAATATAAAATAAGCTCAAATGATAGGTTTATCGAACGCTTGAGGTTGTAAAATAAATTATTAGGAAAATAAATGTATTTATTAAGCTATCAAATAATACCTAATAATTTATTTCATAAGTAATTTTTAAAATAATAAATGCTTGGAAATCTTTATATGTTTATTAAATAAATCGTAATACAGCTTTTTAAAGCACTACAAAGATTATTTCAACAAATCTTCATTTTCATTTACCCCTGCTACTTTTCATTTACTGTTATTATTAATCAATACTATTTAAATATATTAATCTGAATATTCTTGCCGTTTTAATATTATTAGAGATTTCATCGAATAAACAAAAAATCGATCCGAACGCACCCTTAGTGTTTGTAGCTTTTCGCAACTTGAGTGTCATCCATATGTCAAAATTGTACTGGAAGCTTTGAATTGTGACACTTCAATATTCTTAGCAATTATCACTTATTGACAGAATCAAATGGCACATATCATCAGGTGAAAGGTGGTAGTAATTGCTATGATATAAGCTAGAAGTCCGAACCCTTCGGGACACAGCAGTAGGTACCTTCGCCTCCGAAATTTACTCCACCAACATAAGAATCAAATGTATAATAACTAGCTAGCACATTGTCATCTATCCCCACATGATGACATATCTTCTCACCAGCTAGTTCCCCAAAAGAACACCCCATACCGTTGCTATGCCAGAGTAAACAAAATCAGAATACTCTTTGAATTGCCTCCCGCCCCCTCAAAACTACCATCACCACAGAGTTTTTGTCCTATTGATTGCAAAACTCAGTGCGGTAGACACCACGAAGACGCTTTCCGTAGGAACTGTACGGATCGATAGAATAGCGATTAGGGCCGGCCATGATCTGGAAATCCATGGTCCAATCTTCAAAATTGAGTCCGTTAAATGCTGCAGCCAGCTTGAACTGATGGAAGTTCTCATGACTGTTGACATCGACAAGAACATTAAGCTCGGTGAGTGGGAAAGTGTTGAGCTGTTCAATCAACTTGTTCATATTCTGAACACGTTGATTATAGATTGCTCTTGAGCCATGTTGCATAGGCTGAATCAACTTGACTTGGACCTTAGTGATGGCCGCAGAGTACTCAGGCAAAACTTTCATCAAAGCCAACATATCGGTGGGAGGGTCGGCGATAAAGTTAAGATCGATAAAAAGTTGCTTATCATCTCCGTTCTGCTTGAGAACCAAGGCGTAATGCTTTTGGATGCATTCAAACTGGATGGTCGCAGCCACCTTCTTGGCGTTCTCCTCAGTAATCTTCTTGTCGGCTAATTTCTTTTCTTCAGCAGCCTTCTTCTCCCACTGCAGCTTCTTCCAGGCATTCTTCTTCTCCAACTGTAGCTTGTTCCAGGCATCTCTCTGCTCATACCACTTCTTGTCTGCAGCTGCCATCTTTGCAGCAAGTTCTTCCTTCTTGTTGTTCTGCTCCTGTGCGATCTTGACAGACATTGGTACAAGCTTGGCTTGTCCACGGTTGTTCTTGCAGCCCATCTTTAAATGTGAATTTGATTGTGATAAACCGGAAAACGATTTGGATATTGGAGATTTGAATAAACCTGTGTATCATGGTCAGTACTGATATAGAATGGATACTATGAGAGACTCTTGGATTTTCTTACTTGATGAAAGAGTATGAAAGTTGTGATTATGGTGAACTCGAACTTATTTGTGGATGAAAGAATGTAATAATGAGTTGTGGATCTGTGTCTTAGATGTTATGAAGAAGGTGTTTATCTTGGATGTTGTAAGAAAGATACTTCTCAAAAAAAGATTGGAATTCTGGGGTCGAGAGAAACCCTTATGTAGGTAATGTGATACAGCAGCTCATCTGTCGGTCGACGCTAATATCTCTAGCGAGTGATCCATTCTACTACATTAACCGAATCTTGTAACTTTACCGTACCTGAAGCGTAATTAACTCAATCATTGGTGTGGAAAGGCTACCTACACTATGACGTGGTTCATTTCCTACATGTATAATGGAGGGGAATATTGTGTATATTCACTTTGAGATGATTCACCACAGTTCATAGAGCTTTCCACGGCCACATTGGCGAGGTTTATATCTTATTAAATGATTCACGTGTCATTCATCATCATATGAAAGTAGAACCAGGTACTCAAAAGGTGAATACATGCTCTTTGTGGCTAGTCTTTGGGAAACAATTTTGTTATTTTGCAGTCTGAGAGTTATTTTTTCGCCTAATTCCCCAACTATCATTCATCAATTGTGGCTCGCTTAACATTCACCTTCATAACAACCAATACAGTAGCAATACAATAGAACTACCTTCACAGATGGAAGCATATAGTGATGATTTCTCATGGAGCTTATGATTCACACTAAACCTTATAATTGCAAAGATTATCTCCATTAACTGAAGTAATTCATTCATAGTAGTACATTTAGATAGTCGAGTTTTGTGAATACTATAAGTCCATTGATTGACCTTTCAGGCTATACAAGCTACAAACGAATGACTTGAAACCAATGGTATCCCTACAACTTTGCACTTGGACGCAAAACTGGTGAGTGTACACTGCAATTCACAACAACATTTATCTAATGATTATTGGATAACATCTTGAGTATCCATACACCATGATAGACTCCTGTGTCCTTCGAAATATTAGTTTCAGATATCCACCCAGAAAATGCTGACATCATACATAATCAATAATAACAAAGACTCTAGCTTTACTACAATTTAACTTTCCAGGATATTGTTCTGGAAATATTATATTAGCTTGAGAAGGGGCTTTATGTGTCTGGTCGGTTATGATCTACCTGGATTTTTATATATAATAAGTTTTTCTAGTTTGACTTCATCTTCACAGAAGGTGCTGACCGGAGACCAAATTTTCTCTGGTTTATCATACATATCACTTATTGCAAGTCGATCAAACATTTGGCTCAGGTGTTGGGGGTTTTCATTGGTCAGTGATGTGTCTATAGAATACTCCTATGAACTCCTATGGATTTTCCCACTCTGATACCCTCTACTGAAAATTTATGAGGTGAATCGCCATCAAATTCGTGATGCTGTCATTATTCAATCCTAACTACTTAATTCCCAGTTTCCTTAATTTTCGGATTTGTCCGACTTTACTTTGAAGGCCAGAAAGTCTTGCTTGTAAATTCTAGCCAATTTGCGATCCCAATCGCTTTCGGTATCAACTTTCCATGTGCCTGCAACACCACGAACCTTGGTGGCCATGGTCCAGTTTTCGAAGTCCAGGCCAAAAGCTGCAGCAGCCAGCTTCATCTGTTGGAAGTTGTATGCCTTGTTGATACATACTACGAAGTGAAATTCTTCGATATTGAACTTGTTCAAACAATCGATGGTCTTCATCATGTTTTCAACCCGACCGAAATAGATCTCACGGGATTCGTGGTATGAGGGGGCGAGAAGTTGGAATTCGACTTTAGTGATAAGTTTGGCGTAGAGAGGAAGGACGTTCAAGAAGTTTGGATCCTTTGCAGTGATTCCATGATGGACGATGTCAAGATTGATGAGTAGTGCAACCTCTCCGGCTGCAGGATTCTTCTTGATGCTCAAAGCCGAATGCTTGGGAAATTTGGTGTAATCGAAATAGAAAGCTTGTTGACGGGCTAAAGCCTTTTGCTGCGCCAACTCCTGAGCTCTAGCGAGTTCAGCTTGTTGCTTCTGAACTTGGATCAGTTGTACAGATTGCTGCTTTGCGGCAGCCTGCTTCTCGGCATACTGATGTGCTGCACGAACGACGGGTGCTTGACCACGATTATTTTTATTGCCCATTGTAGAAGATAATAAAGATTTTGGAATGAATTAAAAGTATTCGTAAATAAGAGTGTGGAAGAACTTGTAAGAAGTTTTCAATTCAAGATATGTCGAAAGTATTGCGTTCTCTGTTAAAAGTTTTGGGAGTGTCGATGTTGAACGAAGGAAGATGTATTGTAAAAAGTGTCCGGATTCTAGAGAAATAAGAATCCTTATATACTATTTTGCTAACTGCAGAAAGCTCTCCTACTGTTCCCAAAGCAAGTTCATGTATCTGAGTTGTCAGATCAGCCGTACTATGTGCAAGTATCGACGTATCAAAGTGTATGGCACAGTTAATAGTACGAGTCACATTTTGTGACGCTGCTGATGAACCGATGCATGTGTAGGGTTAGTGAAGCTATTCATCAATCTATCGAACGCTCTACCGTAATATGACCCGTATCAAAGTCACGGTACGTTACATTTCGAATTCATATAATACGGAATGAGCCTATTAAGAATGCAATAAATTGTCATGTCATTTGAATAAAGCTAACAGCTAAACAGTCATAGTTTTTTATGCCTTTTGTACTGTAGTAATATAATTTATTCAGAATCCTAGAGCATTTCTGAATGTTTTGGCAGTTGGGATTCGGTTAACTCCAGGGAATCTCCAGGGTATTATTGTGTCGTGACATCACGAACATTCTGTTTTCACAGCACGCTACTTATCTTTCTGCCATGGTCCGAAGGGTTGTATCAATTATCAATCTCTTATTTGGTTCCTCGTTGCGATGGAGAAATATCTATAGTATTTTTGTATATAACATAAGTTTACATTTCTGAATTTTTACTAATCACAGTTTGAAGAGTTCATAATTTTTTTGGTTTGAAATATGCACACAAATCATTTACTCTCAGGTCAATTTCATATCTATTCCAGAAATTAGGTCGATTATTCGATGATTATATCTATTTTTCAGTGATGCTCTAGCTAGCGGCGTGCGAGTGACATGTTTTATTTAGAACTCCCTGATACTCTCTGTAAGAAATCGTCTCTGGTATCACAATGACATGAGTTTCCCTGCCTATAGAATCTTTACTATGGATGTTCTAGGCTATCCCAAGTCCCCCCTGCTCGTCGAATACAATCAATGCCCAACTAAGTATTATCTTGAGTCAAAAACTCGCTCTTATATACCCCAGCTAATCTGCGAGCAATTGAAATCCGACGTCCCACGTTTATTTCCTTCTGCTGGTCGCCAAACAATGCTGTTCCCATTGTCCAATTATCAAATTTCAAGCCGAAACAGGCGGCAGCGAGCTTCATTTGCTGAAAGTTATCGGGTCTGTTGACGGAGATGATGAAGTGAAGATTTTCGAGATTAAAATTATTAAGAATATCGATAGTCTTGATCATATTCTTGATTCGGAGGTTGTAGACGTCTACCGAGCTGTGAAATGCCGGAGCGATGAGAAGAATTTCCACGTTCTTAATCATTTGTGCGTACTCGGGAAGAATTCGAAGAAAGTCTACCTCTTTAGCAGTACGATTCGGGTGTATGATATCAATCTGGATGAACAACTTAGGTGTTCCGCTATCTTTCTTGACTTGTAGTGCCCAATGTTGGGGAAGGGTGGAATAATCGAAGTCCTGCGCATACTGTTCGTCTTCAACTTGCTGGGTATGCAACTCGTAAGCAATGGCCAATTTTTGGTTCTGTTCAGCAAGTTGTTGAGCCTCTTCGCGGGTCTTCTCTGCCGCTAACTTTGCCTCTGTGTATTTCTTAAAAGCCGGAATTTGGGTTGCGCGACCACGATAGTTTTTGTTACCCATTTTGGTGATTTGTGAAAATTATCGATTTTTGCAAGTGAAGTTTGGAGGATTTATTGGAATGATTTATGGAGTATTATTAAGTCTTCAAAGAAGATGATGTTTTACGAGAAGGCTTGTTGAGTTGATTGATGAATTATGGTGTTTTGAATTAGAATGATTCTGAATATTAGGTCTTGGTATCTTTTATAACATCTTATAGACCCCCTTGATAGATTGTTAGTCAAGTGCACATGACCGAGGCTGGATTAGCTGCAAGTGTTATACTGCCTACCGACATTACCATACTCGCTAGCTGCACGATTATCATGAATCCGGCCCACATGACTACGCTGACAATTGTCAGTGTAAAACACGCGGTTAAACATCTGGAATTTCATAATAACCGTATCGATGAGCTCTGGGTAATTGTGTTTCTGCAAACGTTTGCACATACCACTTGTAAGGTTGAATCAATAAGGGTTTGTCAAGTTTCTGATTGTATTCCGAATCCTAGCAATGAAGCTCTGTATGGCAAATTCGCTACGATACCGCTAATTATGGAGTGCCCCCCAGATTAGCGCGAGCTTAAAGAGCGAAAAGAAATGATATTGCTTATCGCCGGATGAGTTTCTCAGTGTGTTGTCATCCATGGCCATGGATGTGTCTAGTTCAACAACATTGTAGCAGAGAAAATGTAGGATTGTCGATAGGCATGTCTTTTGGTCTTGAGAACCCCAAATACTTTTGCAAACCTATTGAGTCCTCGAATGTTATAGTTAGCTTGTAGCAACGTATGTTGTTGTATTCCACTGATTTAACACGTTTTTGGGCTAGAATGAATGGCCAATTTTATCGAGATTTGCTGAAAAGAGAAGAGGCCTGCGCGACAGAATTAATGAATAGCGACGTAGCGCAAGACATGAAAACGACATAGAGATTAACCAATCTAGAAATGGGAGAATTTAGTCACATAAAACGCGTAAGATAATCTATATCTATATTTATATATCAATTCCCGAGGTCTTCCTCAAGCGTGTTTAACTTCATTATCTTCCGCATGATTTAAACCAGCGGAAAAAACACACAAAGCTGACTGCGTGATAGTACAAACTATTATGAACTTTTCAAGTGATGCAATGATTGCTATATATTAATTGTGAATCTTTCTTTCTTACGACAAAATTTGATTTTGCCATCTGATCTCATCGCCAAACCCTTTTGATTCTCGCTAAAGCCACGAATCAAAAATCCGGGCCATCTTCCATGGGAAAATGTATAATCAGATAGACATACTCATGCTCAATAGTAAGCATGAGAAGAAATGAATTCATCCATCTGCTTAACATAAGAAGTTTACGATACCATAGCTAAACCACCCTAGAACACCGGGTGAGCCATCACTTCTCAGATTTCGGGGACATGCTGGATCTTCAATGATCTAACGCAAGATATGCAACGTGACTGATCTTCTTTAATATGGCTCGCTTTATTTTTGAAGGTAATCCCTATTTATTAGACATAAACTAGTCGTCTCCTAATTATAGTTGCCAAAAAGATATCTTATATCCAGAATCTAGGAGATGCGTACTGTGAAGGTGATGGGGCGATTACCAAACATCAACGGAAAACCTGATTGAGACGTCACCTTTTGTACATTGACTACTCCACAGGTGGCCAACAAATTTCCTTCTTTGCTCGTAAGACATACAACGCTCACGAGGTATTCATGAGAAAAACTGCGGGAAAGCAGTAAGATTAGATATCTGTGGTATATGCACACCAAAATTAAACTACCTAAATATTTACATTGAACGAATCTTTCAATTAAGAGAAAGTTCAGACCCTAATTTCTCACGGGTCTGTTCCTTTGGTGCCTCTATTCCAGGCACACGACAAGGATTGCTAGGATCGTAAGCCATACTCATTACATTTGCTCGGAGCCGATTAAGGGCTTTTCCATCTTCCACAATGAGAGACTGGCGCGAATCAGTCCTCGACCCTTCTTGATTTTTGATGCGATCAGCCGCAGATGATCTGCGCCATACCCATACCAGAGAAGAAATGATAAGAACGGCAACTACGACTCCGATGGTAGCGCCGGCTATCACGCCGGTACTTGCACCATGGCTTACGTTGCTACTTGCCGTCGAAGCTGTAGCAGATGAGCTAGTCGTGGTACTGCCAGTAGTATTGGTAGTGTTGGAGGTGTTGGTGTTTGTGGTCAGTAGAGCTTGATTGAAAATTGAGGCAACTTTCGCATTTGTAAAGTCCCCAGAAGGGCGAGTAAGTTGTGCAAAGCCACTGGAACTGTTTATTGGTTAGTGATGAATATGATTTGAAGAGTTGAAGAATACTTGCTTTCCACCAATAACATCAGTAATGTTACCCGGGACAATGTATCTGTTGGCGTCATGATAGAACGTTGATGTCCATGATAACGTGTACATATCGTAAATAGCCACTCCCGAGCTTTCCCAATCACAATAAGATGAATACTTCTTTTGAGCCCCACCAACTGTCAACATCTGTCTATTTCCAACTACATGGCAGGTGTGTCCAAAACGTGGACTGCCTGGTACAGACTCATAAACTTTTATCCACGTGAACGAAGGTAATGAGAGCACGAATACATCATCGTAAGATACAGAACCTCCGTCTTGTCCACCATAAAGGTATATATTGTAACTGGAATTGTCAGGAGCAGTGGCGACAACGGTACATGAATCCATCCTTCTTGGGGGAATATTTCCCGAGGCTTGTTGAGTAAACCAAGACCCGTTCCCTCCATTATATGCACTGTTGATATCGAAAATATTGATTTGATCCATTGGAGCCTAGTGAGACTGGTTAGAAAGACTTTCGATGCTACTAAGGGCTTGTTTCAACCTACCAGAGTGCCTCCTAGTTCATCTGACAATTCACCAGCTTGACGATACATACCACCAAACTGGATTAGTATGCCTTTGTCATTCTCTCCTATTCCAGGTATGTATTGTAAAAGCCCCCCTGTTCTCGAATTTGCGTCGATGGCTGCAGTAGAGATATTCCTTGTCGTATTGTCCGTCATATTTAACATAACCATACCCTCCAGGGGCACAGAACTTCCCGCAGGAATTGAGGTCGTTTCTGTGCTTGACCCGTTATTGATCTCGCCATTAAAGTAAAACCCAAGACTTTGATCTGGAACGTCAGCGCTCGCCCCGAAACTAGGTTTCTCGGGTATCGTAGAGTCTACGTTAATCGAGGACCATTGATTTTGAGCTACATTATAAGACAGAAGGGTCTGATTTGGTGATGTAGGGCCGGTGTAGCCATAGAAGCTCGTATTCTTGCTTTGCTCGGTTCCGCCATATAAATATATTTCATTGGTACCAGGGATTCCAGAAAAAAGAGCACCGTTGAGAACTACAGATGAGAACGCATTTGATGATTCGGCATCGGAGAGATAGACCTGCTCCGATACCAGTGGCAGACTGGCGGAAGCCTTTGTCCAATTCCAGGATTCGTTCATTTCAACACCGATCATATAATTGTCTATCACTATTATTAGCTGAGCCTCGAATTAAAGAATGTTAACTTACTTGTACCCATAGTGATACTCCCGGTTATGCCACCATGATTGTTAGATTCAACAAAAGTCTCATAGCCCCCATAAATGTACAAAATTTCGTTTTTCAATACCGACGAATGATACCATCTTTGGCACATATTTTTGACGGGATCTAGCCCTGATGGAATGTCGTTTTGCGCCCGGCGCAACATCTCGAGAGCCTTCATCCCACCCCTCCTTTGCATCTTATCATTATTATGTACCAGAAACTCCGTGACAGCGCGCCGTAAATATCGCAAAAATTTCAGATTACCCTCTATCCTCATCGACTCTTTGGTAGCCTTTAAACACGTATTCTCGAGTCACTAGCACGGAGGTATCGAGGTGCGCAATATGCCGAAGTCATCAAAAATTAGGAGGCGTGTGAACAAGTAAAAGATTCATCAGTCAAGAAGAGAAAAAAGTCATGTCGAGAAGCTGGATGGAGAAGGGTTTCACAAAGAGACCATGTCCCGGGTATAGACTTCTATAATATGAGCAAAGATTCATACACCAAATGGAGAGTGGCGGAGGGCTGACAGTCGCATCTTGCTAGATAAAGAGACCTAGACTTTCTTAAGATTGCCAGCCAAGAACTTTCAAAACCGGCACACCAGGATATAGCAAAAGAGGTAGAGAAAATAACAGATACCACATGCTTGTCCAATGAACTTGCAGCAAAGTCACAAGCATTCGTATCGAAGACACGAACACATGCTGTTCCTGCATGGCAAAGGATTCGGCGGTTGCATTTGATGGTAGAAGGATTGCGGCTACCTCATCTTTCTTAGAATAGTGTCAGGGGGTTGTGTTCACGAAAGTGGAACTATATTATATTTATACATCAGCCCCCAAATGAGGATCGAGATAAACAACCGTGAAATACGGGAGACCAAACGATTCAGAAGCGCAGCATATGATCACGTGATACTCATGAAGAAAATGCACGGCTCATCTGGAACTTCACACTAACACATGATGTCAACTTCATATCAAAAAACTCTGTATCTCAGTCTCAGTCTGGACCAGCATGGCAGTTATGTAGCATACAGCTGAAGCTGCAATTGAAAATGTCACATAATTATGCATCTTTCAGCGATGCTTCGTATTGACAAATAATATCTAGTCTATCTGCTTTGGTTTCTTTTTCCACTTGACTCGATCCCAAAATGTCAACCCTTTGACGGTCATACCATGGTTGCCATGTTTCGGTAGATACATCTCAATTTCCTCTCTTGTCTGATCATCTACGCTACTTGCAAATCTCTCGGCAAAACTTATTGGCTGATAGCCAGGATCCAACGCTGTGAGATATTTCACCACTTCCACCTTTCCGTAATAGATGGCCCAATCTAAAACCCGTCTCTGTGCAGACTGCGTATCAATGCTGGAGCGGCCATATTCTGCCAGTGCCATGATTGTATGTACGTTCCCTACTCTTGCAGCGTACATCAAAGCATTGTTGCCATTGACGTCTCGTATGCCTTCATCAGCACCCTGTTCTAGCAAGCACTTTACTCCCCGATCATAGCCCTTTAGGCAAGCGATCATCAAAGCTGTATGTTTCGAATCGCCGGCTCGAATGTCGATATCAGCGCCAGCCTGAACCAGTAGTTCTATCACATGTGTGTTGTGAGCGATTCCTTTATCGAAATAAACTGCTGCTATCAACGGTGTTTCTCCATATTTCCTATCTTTGACGTCCCAATTGCAAGAATCAACAACTGCATCATACTGCAGCAACAATTTCACCGAGAAGACACAATTCTGACGCGAGGCGATATAAAGTGGTGTCAACCCATGTGCATTCTGAACCTCCGTCGCTGCACCATGGCTTAACAAGAATTGAACAATTTGGGAATTCGAGGGCACTTGAGCAGCCCCATGCAATGGTGTGCATTTTAGATCACCTGAGACCAAATTGACGTCTGCACCATTCTCAACTAGTAACTTGACCACATCGAGCGATGCTTCATATTGACCGGCAGCCGCAAATAGAGGCGTACACCCCGCTTCATCACGTTGGTTCGGTTTGGCCCCGTATGCTAACAAACACTTTATAGCAGACTTGGAGCCCCACTTAGCAGCAAGCACTAAAGCAGTATCGCCATTTTGAGCGAATCGGTTCAGATTGAAATCCCCTGATTTGGCGAGTGACTCCACTCTTTTCAAGGCTTGCATCCGTACTGCGTCTATTAGTTCCTCATGTCCCAAAGGTGTTGTTCGTATGGATTTCATGATTGCTCCTTGAACTTGGGGATATGCAGTGCCCTGGCTTGTAGCGGGAAACTTCGCAAGCCTGGAGTGATCTGTGATGCACGGCACTTCTACCTCCCTCGTACCAACACCAAGTACCGCCGAGTCTATATTTCTATTAGCGGCTTCGAAACACATGGAATAGAGTATTGAGGATATTGTGAAATGCTGCGAGGTATGCTTACCTGGAGGTACCATCATCTTTTCGAGCCCTTGTCTGGCCCATGTTCCATCTGACATCTAATGCATGAGTGAGCCATTAGTTTCCTGTGCAGGAGATTTTTACTAACCTCAACTAGAGTTTTGGTTCGAATCGTCTCATAGACTGATAGTATCGCGATATCGGGTGCCGTGGATAAAAAGTGACAAAAATCAGAGTTCAGTTCGTTGAGTTCATGAGACCGAAAGGATATTTGTCGAATTAAGGGTGCTGTCGCATCATGCTTAACGAGTTCAAGTAGAGCCTCCGTATCTAATCCTCGATGAGGCGTTCCCATGAATATCATCAAAGGAATCGAAGGCATTACTTTCCATCGCCCTAACATTGCCTGGGTAAATCGTGAGAAAGGACACTATACGACACAGATAGTTGCATACCTTTTTAATCACCAAGCCTCCTAAACTATGCCCGACAAATACCAGAGGTCTATCCTGCTAAAGTAAATAGCTGTCTCGCCAAAGCATAAATACCCGACTTACTGGTGCATGTCTGCGTATCTCTTCTACATCGCTACGAAAACGAGAACTGAATACGGAAATAACAGCCTCTGAATGACTACCTTTCAAGTGAGAGTCAAACCCGTAACTCATCACCCTTGCATTGGGGAAGTCCACCGCCAGTTTGTCTCGCAACCACATATGCGTTGGTTCTGACGCCCATGAACCGAAGGCATTACCAGCTAGTCCCGTGACAGCAATGATGCTATACCATCTTTTAGCAAGAATAAGTGTGGAAGTGGGGAAGCTTACTCGAGGGCTACTGGCTCTTGTGGCTCATTCAAAGGAGTGAATCCATAGAATGTTTGGTCAACGACAACTCTATCCCCGCCGTGGCCTTTCAGAACCGGCAATGGCACCGATGGATTCCAACCCGGCGGTGGTATGAAGTCTACAGTAGCGACTTTTAATTCGTTCGGCTGACCATCGATAAGTGGTGCGACAGATCTAGCAACCAGTTGCATGCCCACCGCGGGATCGAATTGTAAATAATTACGAACATTTTTGAGTGTTGTATCATGGGGTAGTCCTTCCACTCGGTAGCCTGTACGACCCATCTTTCAAGAGAAACTCCAGGAAATTGACATACAGAAGAGCGATGATGTTGACTTCAGTTGAATCAAATTGTTTCGAAGGGCCAACTTGCAATTACTGGAATTGTTTTGGCCTACTACTGGGCCCCTGTAGCTGAAATACCAAAAACAGAAAGTACCCTTCCCATCGGGATCCTTCCGATGTCAGCAGGTCGTCACAAAACTCGAAAAATTTCCACATTCGGCCGAAATTAACACTCTCACCAATAATCCCACGTGGTACTTGGCAAGGATCAAGCTGATAAGATACCACATCGAGGGATCAATAAACTTCCACATTAGATGAATACATTCGCGCTTAATTTGCACCATCTTCTCAAGATGAAACATGGCAAGCCAAGTTTACCATCGCGGGTGATCTAGGACTCACAATGCTTACACTGGATATTCCCGATACTACTTTGTAACGTTTTCTATCCCAAGACTCAGATGTCACCACATTGTCTGTACGTCGAAGAGTCACTTACAGATTATTTTCACAGCCTTATTATCGGCGATTCCCGATAACAAATATATGAATGATATGGAATTATTCATTTAATTTAACACTCCTTCATCCTCGGCAATTAACCACGCGTGGATTAATTCATAGGGCTGGAAATGCCATAACAACGTTTGGAGATTCTTTCTCAAACAAGTAAATGGTCTCATCCAATCAGATAGCGCCCATCGCATATCTGAGAACTCTCTCGTTCTTTCCCTATGAGGTCACCGCAAACCCCGGTAATCAAATGTGACGAGTATGAAGCATTAAGTTTCAAAACCAGACTGTTCCAGAAACCCCGAGGCTTCCTCTACACTAACCTAACTAGTAGCTACTATTCCGGTCCGTGGGGAATTCACAGACTCGTGTTCGCGTTGCGTACTAGCCTTGTCCTATTTTCGATTCCCATGTGCAGAGACTACACTACGAGTATCGAAATTAGATATAAACTAACCTTGCAAAATCATACACCACTCCAAGATACTAACTAGTAACTCTTCCACCCACCATCCAAAGAAACTACTCCCCAACAGCCGCTTAACGCCCCATCTAGTAATATTCTTTTACGAGCAGTTGTCCAAGCTCGTCGATCACAAGCTAGGTACCTATGTACCTACACCCAAGTCTCAAGATACCCTTCCTTACCTACACAGCAAGTATTACATCACATCTCCACCGCGTATCCAAATCAAAGCATACATAGGTACATAAATCCACATATTCATACGCATACACTCAGCAAACACCTCAGCAAACACCTCATCTCTAATCACCTAATCACCTAATCACACATATACACATACGTACCGACAAACATATAACAAGATAATCCCACATCAACACACACCGAGCATAAAAGGCGCACACAATCGGAGTTCGCGATGTATGTAAGATTGATATTGTATAATTATACGCCCGTGCTATATTTGGGGGCGAGATTGTGGAGACCCCTGAGTACCTAGGTATGGGTGGATACTGCGGTACAGTAAGCGGGAATACGAAGGACTGTGATAGGGGTGTGGTAGGGTGTGGTAGGTAGGGGTGAGGTGGTAGGCGCTTATTTTGGGGGTTTGGATGGGGTTGTGAGAATGGGGATTTGCGTGTGATATGATATGATGTTATGGGTTTGGATTTGGAATTGGATTAGATTTGGATGGAATGGAACGGATTGGAACGGATTAGATTAGAATAAATGAAAAGGAGTGCCCAGATACTCGTGATATAAAAAATCAATAAC